TCCGCGGCTAACCTCAGCATTGCTCGTCCGGTTTCCCCACCAAACTCGTGCAATGCGACGAGACTGCACCTCGATGTGGTGTTATGGCTTACGTGCCTCCATAACCCTGCTAGCTATAGAGGATAGCTCCTCAACCGTAGATCCAATCATGCCTGAAAGGTTAATGAGTAGAGGCCAGACGAAGATCAGTCTTACGAGGCCAGCTGTTTAGGCACCTCCTGGCTTCCCTTGACTATCCACTCCCGCATTTGGAGAGGTCACTGCAGCGAAAATACACGGGAAGGAATAGCAGGCGGGGCGGAATCCTATAGTCATGAGAACCTGCTGTTCGGCGGTGGAAGCCAGCAACCTAAGCCCTGGGACTTGGAGTGGCGAATCACATAAGGCCCCGATAGGTTAGGTGGAGTATTGAACCGGACAACAACGTAGCTGCCAACTACCAAGGTCGGTTGGCGGTGGCGAGGCTCGAACCCATAGGGTCCAAAACACATCGGTGACAGCCACTAAACCACTGCGCCACCACCATTACCGCAAATTGTGGTGCCCAAACTGTAGTACTCATCGCAACCAATAAGAATAAGTGAATCTATTCCTCCTAATGTACAACACGCAATAGGGATCTTTTAAAGGAATTTCTGATCTGAAATCTGTTTTTATTGAGAAATTCTTTCTAGCCCTAAAAGCCTCAGTATGATCACAAGTGGATGTTTTAGCTTTTGAATGGTCACCTTTCTCTTGCATCTCCGAAATGCTGCCGTACAATGAAGAGTCTCAAATAACCTCTATCAATGAAGGCATACACTACCTTCATATTCTAAAAGTGTTCAACTGCCGATATTTACGTAGTTTAGCGCGGGCTGGATAGAGTGAGCGTCTAAGCAACTCTGCGGTAAGGCGTCGTATTGGGCCATGATTCGATAAAGAATTAGTTGTCCCATCCAATTCGGATTAGTCGGCTTCGCTGCTTAGGACACGTATTGCGTATGCACAGCCATCGTCTATTGTACCGCGCCTCATTCGCAGTCGCGGCTCCAGGTTGGAAGAAACCACGTGGAGGTCAACAAGTGATGTGGAAACGAGGCTTGAAGAAATGCACGGGACGATTAAATAGACTAGGTGTCTACCGCCTTCCAGGTTTCTTGTAAATCGGTATGATCACCGATTCCCCTCATTCAGTTGGAGCCTCTTCCATCCAGGTTTGGGTCCAAAAGACTCTGCAACTGGTTGGTTGGAGACACTGAAGGATATGGCAACTAACCGACAGCAGTGGCGTACTTGTCATTTCTTATCCGACCAGAGTGCTTGGAAAGGTTTGTATGCACACTTAAATTGTGTACTCTATGTGTTGACCATAGAGGTTCACTTTCTTTGCTATCCTCCAATCAGGTCCAATCGCTCTCCATCTTGTGCTTTATCGCTTAATTTGTATACATTGTGAGCTTGGCAGAGATCATTGAAGTTCGCTTCACTGTATCTCGCTGCTCGATGATGATGATGATGATGCGTGTGGTGGAGGTGTTTTCTTCACAAAGGGAGAGAACGAAAAACCAACATCCAGAACTACAATCGATTTCTGGTTCTGGCAGTGGCCACCCAGTTGACTGGGTATTGCGGTTTATTGGACACCTTTGAAGTTTCACTCCGAGCAGACAGAACATGATTTAAATGAAATATAGGCTTTATGCCTACAATACAATACAATTTGATGAGCTGGACGCTAGCCCCACAGTGGATTGCGGTTCTCACTCGACATCCCGCTGTCATGTGCGTCACATTTTGACTAGCTGAGGGCTTTTGTTTTGATTTCTCCAAGAAAGCTCGCACCCTTGGGCTGGGACGATCTGGTAGTATGTCGCTGACCGGGAAATCATGTACTGACTTCTTTCTTATGAAGATTGTTGCGCCGCGATTTGTTTGGTTAAAATTTGGACTGAAAGAAATCTGAAATAGCTTTGCAGCTTACAGGGCCGTCAACCGTGGATTTACATGCGGTCGTTGCTGATTTAGATGAAGAAATAGAAGGGAGATTGCAATGTTGAAAGCAGTGCCAAGGTTAAAATTGAGAGTTCATGAAGAATATAGTTGTAAGGAGATTACGAAGATGCAAGAGCACAACTGTTTACGACACTCAGCCTTGTCACTCAATCTTAGTAATTAAAGGTTTCACTAATCCCGAGGTACCCACTCTGGAAATCTTATGTGATCTGTATGGGCTAGTCTCCNTTCCACGGATTTTATACCCCCCTGAAAAGTAGTAAATTACGGCATTCTTCGTGGTGTATGCTAAGGCTTACATGATTCTATGGAAGGTGTTCGTGAATTTATGCCAGTCCTGTTCTGCTCACAGATTCTCTCGTTTGGAATTTTTCGGTTTACGTCCAAGTGAGAAATATATAATAATTGTATGATGATGATTATTTCAATAAGTATTATCTATTATTTCAATAATGATACTCTCATGTTCGCAGCGGGATTATATATCATGTTTCTTATGCGCAACATCGGATGCCTTTTCCGATCAAGGCTACCACTGCATGGTACGTTTGTACTCATTGTAAATCAGTTGTTTCTTTCTGTTTAGCTTTGAGATCCATGTTCATACAGGTGCAGGACACACCGAATCCAAACAGCATGAAATATTTTCCCGGTAAAGACGTCCTTGGTTCCGGTACCATGGATTTCTCCTCAATCATCCATACGGGTTCATCACAACTTGCTCGCCAACTGTTCTGTATTGAGGGTGTGGAACGTGTATTTCTTGGACCAGATTTCATCACTATAACAAAGGTAGACATGCTGAATTGTGCTGAATGACCTGTCACACCATAGAAAGATGATGTGGACTGGAAGCTCATTAAGCCCGAAGTTTTTGCTACTATCATGGATTTCTACGCTTCAGGATTGCCCATCGTAAAGGAAATAGATGGCGACGGATGTGAGTCCACTCTTGAATTATATCACACGCTAACTTTTTCAAAGTTAGCAATATTTCACATCGTGTTGTTTCAACTTCAGGTTGTACAGCTGTAAACCTCGTGCGACGATTTTGGTTGCTTTCTTTCGGTTTTCCATTGCGTTGAACAGTAACCATTGTGGCAAACAAGCTTGTGTCAGTCCCTTATCTGTCGACCAATTACAACACTATTTTATGAATGATGTAATGCTAGAAGGATATGGAAAATCAGATAGTTGGTTGGTTAAAAACATGGGACAGTTAGATTGAGGATTTTCAAACATTGAGCTTACAAATTGTGATGGATATTTGCGGATCGTGAATTTTGATTTGGAATGTTAGGGGCGAGCGCACTTTGGCACATGATTACATGGGGATAAAAGGGGGGGGGGATAATCATTTAATTCAATGGTCATCGACCGTACAGTCGACACCCATCCGGCTTTGGCATGTTCCGACCGGACCCCTGTGCGGAATAGATTGGATGTAACGACTCCACATCAACGATGTGGTTCGTTTCGACCAAGGGCACAGCCATTGCACTCACCTGTCATTATCGGTCCTCGACTAATAACATAAATAATATTATCAACACAATGTATGCATAGGATAAACTGCTCAATACCAGCGGTGAACATCTCATTTTCTAATATTGCCAAAGAGATATCAGCCAAAAGAAGTCTTACTGGTGAATCCATGGCAAATACACCTTTTGACGATATACGCCACGATTGAACTGGTATTGGAATTTAAAAGCACATTGAAGACCTTTTCTCGGGCGATCCGATGGAATTCCAATGTTCATTTTTTTTTCAATATAATCAATCTCCCAAGTAATCAATTTTTCTTTCCAAGAGGGACTCATAAACGGAGAAGTAGCATCTCTTTTGGAAATATGGGCTGGTTTATTGTATCTAATTTTCCATGGAGTTCACAAGTTAAAATCAATATTTTGGGGAGTATTTCACCACTCCTCTCATTGCTGGTTCAAGTGGTTCCATTATCCAAGTTGCCATTGCTTAATAAGGTGGATTACGTTGGTCGAAGATCGATCTTAGTGGATAGCCTTATTCGGTCACTAATTAATTCGCACAATCAAGGAATGTTTGTTCCCCTATGGTCGCATTCTGCCAATCGTTGATCAGGCAGTAATTTCATTCCACCTAAGTTCTTTAAAGTTGCTTACTCGACAGCCACAGTTTTATTGTGCTCCTGCAGTGCATGTAAATTTGAATTTGTCCATAAGTTAGACATTCATGTCATCCACCTAGTCCTTTTTGTGCGCAATAACACTGTTGTAGTAACCCAATTGTAGCGTCATCAGATTAGCACCTCGGATGACGTGTGGTCTAAT